GACAATAACTACTCTCTCTCTCTCTCTCTCTCTCTCTCTGGAAAAATTTATTATATTTCCCCACCCATATATATATTTTCTACATCCCCCTTCTCTCAGCAGTCTGATCTGAATAGATAGATGGGATGACTTCAGTCATAATGTCACAAGTAAGGCACTGACCATACGATCTAGATCTGACATCTCAGAGTCTTTTTTTTAATTGTTTTTTTTACTAATCATATGAAGATAAAATTTAGTACGTGTCATCATCTCAATGGGATACACCTAAAACAATAATTTAAAAAAATAAAATCAAGAAAATATCGCTAAAACTTTTAGGGGTGCTTTGGTCATTTTTTTTATCAAGAATAATTTTTTTATATTTTTTGCAGGTATGAGTTTAAGAGAGGAATGGAAATCCCAAAATAGGTGTAAAAATGTTTTGTAGAAGAAAATTAAAAATAAAACAATCTATAAGCATGACATTGTGATTGGGAACATCTCACTTGTCCATTCGGATCGGATGGATAGGAGGTAAGGGGATGTAGAAAAAAATATATGGGTGGGGAAGTATAGTAAGTTTTTTCCTCTCTCTCTCTCTCGTTCCCATTATCATTCTTGTACAAATTTGCAAACTAGTGAGTCAAGATCTACAATTTTGTATCCAACTTAATATCATGAAACTAATTGGCACAGAGATTAAGACAAATCGAAGTTTATTTAAGCGACAGAGTGGACATAGGAGAAACTTATGTGCCAACCATGGAGGAGTACATGAGCCATGGTAAAGCATCTTTGGGGGTAGACATGAGAATTGTTCCAGTCTTGTTTCTCATGGGAGAGCGTATTCAAGACCATGTTATTCAACAACTGGATTCTAGATCCAAGATCTATGATCAATTGTGCACTTTCATGAGGCTCTTCATTGATGTCAAGACATTTGAGGTAAGAAATTTCATGGTATCAGTATTGAAACAATCGAAAATTTTAAACCATGTTATTCATATATTTTCATTAGTTTTGTAACCTGTAAGAATTATGAAAGTTTTCATCGTAAGTGGTCTTCAAATAGATAATACTCAGAGAGAGAAAACAAAAGTAAAAAGAGGAAAAAATATGTTCTATTATGTTTTGGGACAAGGTTCATGATCGGTGTACTTTTGCATAAATATTCCACAAAATTGTATCAATCTGTAAATACCATATTTAAATATGGTACGGACATAATTTTTCCTTTCTTTTTTAAAAGAACACCGGTTTAATTTTGCATTGACTTAGTCATGATTTTCAGGGGAGAAGATATAATGGTTCGAGATTTTCCGCTGTCACTTGCTACATGAAACAAGAAAATTGCTCAGAAAAGGAGGCTCTAGAGCATCTAGGAACTGTGATTGATGAAGCTTTTGAAGAACTAGTACATGAATATCTAAAACCTAATAGACTGCCACATGCCTGCAAAAGGTTGATGTTTGAATATTCAAGGATCATGCAGTTTTTCTACGGTACTAGTGATAGCACAAACAGCAGTCAAAGGGACAGGATAGAGAATGCAATTGATTGCCTCTTTACTCCAGTTTGATTTTATTAGAGGAAGTCATGTTGATCTCTCTCTCACACACCCTCAGTTTATGTATGTTCTGTACACATTGCTGGCATGAACAAATAACAGGAGTTTTCTCCTAATAAGGACGCACATAACCAAGCGATTCAATGCCAATCCACTTTGTCACCAGTTACTGTATTCGTTCCACATTTTGTACTTCTAAGCTTGAGCTCAAAAATATAGATTTTGGGATCAGCAAATCCTGAAAACAATAATCCAGACCTCAACAATTATAGATCTCGAAAAATGGAATTCAAGCCCTAGCATATTGTAACACATTATTTGGATCATCTTCTTTTAGGTGTATACAAATTCACTAAATCTGTGTTATTTTTTTAGTCTTAAATATTATAATCATAGATAAAAAATAAGTTTAAGGTCACATTAGATGGTCAAGGATGCCTCCAACACTCAAATTGCATTTCCAGTAAGGTTTTGAGGTATATATATATATATATATATATATATATGAGGAAGATGCTAGGGGGAGTCTACTAGCTCATAGAATAGTATTAGCTCAATAGTCTAGATTGAATCTAGACGGATCTGATGGTCGAGAGTGAATTTTAATTTTTTTTCTACAAATCCAAATCACTTGAAATTTTAGGTGAATGTTCTTCTCATCAAGCCGCACTTAATAAAAATATAAAAAACATAATCCGAAAAACTAAAAATGACCAAAATACCCCTAAAAATTTATGGGGGTATTTTAGTTATTTTTTTCATGTAAAATAACTTTTTTTAATATTTTTTAAATATTCGTCTATTTTTTATAAACACACGTCTAAAATTTCAAGTAATTTAGATTTGTAGAAAAAAAAAATTAAAATTCAATCGGCCATCCGTGATCGTTAGATCGGCCCACATTCAATCGAGCCATTGAGCTCATTTTTTCTTGTGAGCCTATTGGCTCACT